TCTCTCTCTCTCTCTCTCTCTCTCTCTCTCTCTCTCTCTCTCTCTCTCGCGCGCGCGCGCGATGAAAGACGCACACCACCACAATTATTTTTTCTTGCTCTACAAATTCTGGTGGTATAGGGGAGGATGTATTGATTACTTTGTTTGTGCCATAGTTAGTAGCCCCCTCTCCCTTTGTTGTTAGTCTTATAATGCTTTTATATTTTGGGGGTTTTGACGTTTTGATTTTATTTTTATAGGGTAAATGATACATTCAAGAAATCCAATAAAGAAATCCATCACACCCTAAAAAAATCGAACAAGAATCAGTAAGAAACTCAACCATAGCATCAGGAAGCAAGCTGAAAATGAAAAAAGGAACAGGTTAGCACTTAGCTGTTAGCCACTTAGCGACTTGTCCCTTTTCGTTTTCTTTTAGACAATGTATCACCATCGACATTCGCAACATGAATTACTTGAATTATTTTTTATTATTGGCTTATTTTGTGTAGTGTAACGGTGGTTAAGGATAGCGTCAAATACTTATATGCCCCTGTGGAGAGGATTGTTGGGCTGATGTTTAGTTTCTTATGATGTATGTGAAAAGGTTTCAATTTTCATTTCTTTTTTTGGTTTGCTAGGGTTAAGTTGACCGTGGTTGTTTTTCAATTTGAGATCTTGATAATAGATTTTGAAGTCAAGGGTGGATAAAAGAAATATTAGTGAAAATAATCGGGGCAACTTTGGAAACTTAAATTCCATGACGTTGGAACGACTTCATTTAAATGAGTGGACTATAAGTCCTTTTTGTGGGTGATTCTGCATATACCCAAATTAAGAAAGAATGAGCAACACTAATGCAACCATCAACCCTTCAACATGTTCAATATTGATGGCAAGTAAAGCATATCCAAAGGAAATAAACTCCATTAGTTGGTTAATTGAAGCAACAAATTACTATCACACTCTAATGTCAATCACATTTCAGTTGTTGCAGTGAGGTAAGAGATATTTAGAAAAAAAAATGGAAAAGTTATTGATGAGAGGACTAGAAGAGTTAAGAAGTGGAGTTGGTACAGGAACCTATAACTTTTTCAAATAATAATCGATATGATATTTAAAATGCCGCACACTGGATTGAGCACATTCTTCCTTTCTCTTGGTTGTTTTAATTTTCCAGCATTTATAAGGTAATCTTTATTGTTTTTTGGCAAATTAGGCGTTTATCACATATAAATATGCTTCCATTTGTGTGGGATCTTTTAGGTTATTTGGGTCAATTTGAATATCTGCAGTTCTATTCAAATCAAATGAAATTTTGCAAAAGCAAACTGCTTTGAAGGTATAAATGAAATGTGTGAAGTCTTTGTTGGAATCATAAGTCATCATTTCCCTCCACCCATGTCTTCCACTCCTAAAAGTAAACTTGATTCCTGGAA